CTACATATTTTTGAATTGGGCTTTGTAGAGACGGGGTTGGAGAAGGAAACAGTGAAGGGGTATGCGCACAATGCGAGCCACAAAGACAACGAGGTGGTGTATGAGACTACTTTCACCATCCCAGAAGGGTTTGGAGACGTTGGAGCTGTTCAGGTAGAGAATGAACACCACAAGGAGATCTTCATCAAGAGCATCGACCTCGATGGCTTCCCGAAAGGCACTGTTAATATTCCCTGCAATTCCTGGGCTCATTCCAAGTTTGACAACCCTCGGAAGAGAATTTTTTTCACCAACAAGGTCCTCTATTTTAGATCCTTATATTTTTTTCGTTGCTTTCTCATTATTATCATACAAACACACACACACATATATACATGGGATTAGGATCAAGAGACAAATATTTTGATAAATACTTTTACACTCTTTTTTAGCGATTAGATCTTATAACATCTGATGGTCTTGATTAATAGTGATGTGGAAGCTTTTACGACTTGATGATGATGTAGATTGTAACTAACAATAAATTTTGTCACTCCCCTACACTTTAGTTTAGCCTTTTAGAAGGCTATACCATTGCAATTTTGCAGTGTAGTTGAGATTTATGTCTTGTACATGTCGTTGATGTATTGTTGAAGTTTTTTTTAATCAATAATGCTTTGTTCAAGAAGGAAAAAGTGATCGTTTTCTTATCTTCTTTCTTAAGATTACCCATTGTTCTAAAAATCTCCACCTAGGGCCCTTCTAGACGTTAGGCAGCTGGCCACCGTCCTAATTAGTCCCCAGACGTTTGAAAAATGAGAAAGTATGCCTAGCCCATCTAGGCGGCCGCCTAAACCTGCCTAGGCATCCGCCTAGATCGTGACTCTCACTTAGACACAAAATCAATAAGTTTCTTTTTGCATTCTATTATGTCAATAAAATGTAAGAAACTTGTTGAATACTTAGATGAACACTCATCATATGTTTGTCCCCCCATATTTTCAATATATTCTAACACTTCATAATTTATATGCCTTTTTTTTCTTCTTTTTTTTGCAATTAATGTATGCCATTGAAATTAGGTGTTTTTTTAAGTATAAATAGGCACTGATTTATACAAAATATATAATATATTTACTTAAATCCGCCTAGTTTGCCTAGGCCTGCACCTAAAATCCGCCTAGCTGCCTAGGCGCTAGACCCAGCACGCCGCCTGACTAGCTCCTAGCGTCTTTTAGAACCTTGAGATTACCTTGTGTTTTGACTAGTTTTGGCTGACATATTCATCCACAAAATTAATTGATGTGTTAATTTGTGTGAAAATGTAATGATTCCAAGCAGTCGTACATACCATCAGAGACGCCAAGCGGGTTGAAGAAGCTAAGAGAATCTGAGCTGCAGACTTTGCGAGGAGACGGGCGGGGCCAAAGAAAAACATCTGATAGGATTTACGATTATGATACTTATAACGACCTTGGCGATCCGGACAGCAATGAGGAACTGGCTAGGCCTGTCCTTGGCAGCAAAGATCACCCGTACCCCAGGCGCTGCAGAACTGGAAGACCACGCTCTAAAAAGGGTAATTATATAACCATCTAATTACATACTAATCCCTCAAATGGTTGTATAAAGTAAACGCCATGCCCTTTTCTACTCAATAGGTCCGTAGTTGGTAAAGAAAGCTTGCCTATCCCGGGTTCCAATTCAACCTCTTCTTTCTATTTCACTTGGAATATGAAGTTACGTCACGAGAGATATAGGAAAAGAGTGGCAGAAACCCTTGGCAGCCAATTAGCTCCCATATTTATGAAAATAAAACAGTGTTCTAGACACACAAGACTAAAAGTTTGTTTTGGTTCGTGTCTCATAACAAACATTTACAAAAATAAATTTGTGTTTATGCCTTTTGAAATGGAAACTCATGTGCTTCAAGAACTTAATGTTACCAAGGACAATGATTCAAGCTATGAACCATTTTCTTTTATTATATGCTAATTTCGAATGTGGGAAATTGTATGACTGAGAAACTATGAGAGCAATGTGATTATTGTATCATATATTTTCCACCAATATTGCAGATCCTTTATCGGAACAAAGAAGCAGCAATGTGTATGTACCAAGAGATGAAGCGTTTTCAGAGGTGAAACAGCTGACATTTTCGACAAAGACCCTGAAATCTGTGCTACATGCGTTGATCCCTTCGCTTGAGACAGCACTTCTTGATCCAGACTTAGGATTTCCATACTTCACGGCCATAGATTCACTATTTAACGAAGGAATCACATTACCTAAGCCAAAGACCGGTGAGTTTTTCCAGACAATCATCCCAAGGCTAGTCAAGACTATTACAGATGGAGGAGACGATCTTCTGCTCTTTGAGACCCCTGAAGTAATTGACCGTATGCCTCCCTCCCCCACTCCCTGTGTATAGATCACGATCAAGCAAAAATTTCTAAATGATGATTCCCTCTTGAGGAAAATAGACCACAAAATTGCTGGCTTCACCCTGTATATCACTTGTCTTCTATTGCAGGTGATAAATTTTCTTGGTTTAGAGATGAAGAATTTTCCAGGCAAACTCTAGCTGGTCTTAATCCATATAGTATCGAGCTAGTGAAGGTATGCTTTCTTTATTATTTTGCTGATACAAGTAGAACTCCCCCACTTCAATATAGAAATTCAAATTTGTATATTCCATTTATCACCCGAGGTCGCCATCTTCTTTGGTGATCAAGTAATTAAAGAGTTAGAAGCGTATCTTGTTTTAGCTGGTTAAACTCTATTTTTTCCTCTAGTGGCAGTAAATTCTGTAATTTCCTAATGCAGGAATGGCCATTGAAAAGTAAACTTGATCCCGAGGTTTATGGCCCCCCTGAATCATTGATCACAACAGAGGTGGTTGAAAAGGAGATCAAAGGTTTTATGACTGTCAATGAGGTATAATAAACACACCCCCAATCTCTTTGACTTGCAACCGGGTTATGCTTTAAGTAAAAGAAAATTGCTTGAACATGTAGGCCTTGGAAAGAAATAAGATGTTTATTTTGGATTACCATGACCTGCTCATGCCTTATGTGAACAAAGTAAGAGAGATTGAAGGTACCACACTGTATGGTTCTCGTACACTATTCTTCCTCACTGATGATGGGACACTGAGGCCTATTGCCATTGAACTCACTCGACCGCCTGTTGGTGACAAGCCACAATGGAAGCAAGTCTTTACTCCAACCTGGGAGGCCACCGGTTGCTGGCTGTGGAGGCTTGCTAAAGCCCACGTTCTTGCTCATGACTCTGGCTATCATCAGCTTGTCGTGCACTGGTAAGAAACTCGTACCCAAGATGGCTTAAATCCCTTTTTATATTGGCATTGAGCTACCAAATTAGTCGTGTAAATGGCATTTAAGTTGTGGCAATCAGGAAACCACGAATGTGGAACTTCACATTATGCCTCCTGTGGCAATTGGGAACTATGAGACTAAGTCATGGATAATAACTTGTTTGTACTTTTATATTTTCACAGGCTGAGGACTCATTGCTGTACAGAGCCATACATAATTGCAGCTAATCGACAATTAAGCGTAATGCATCCCATCTACAGACTTCTGCACCCTCATTTCCGGTATACAATGGAAATCAATGCTCTGGCTCGAGAAGCCCTCATCAATGCAGATGGAATCATTGAGAGCAGCTTTTCACCTGGAAAGTACTCCATGGAGTTCAGTTCTGTTGCTTACGACCAGCTTTGGCGCTTTGACATGGAAGCTTTGCCAGCAGATCTCATCAGAAGGTATTGTACTTGATAAAACTAGCATAAGACTAATCTAAACTATTTGATGCAGGAAACTTTGTACAAAGAAGATTTTCGATTTTTAAAAAGAAAACTTCACTGAAAACCCCACGGAATTTGAACTGCTTGTTCATATTTGGTTGATTGGATTTCAGGGGAATGGCAGTTGAGGATCCTACAGCTGAGCATGGCTTGAAGCTAACAATTGAAGACTACCCATTTGCAAATGATGGTCTCATTCTGTGGGATACCATTAAGGAGTGGGTGAGTGATTATGTGAACCATTACTATCCAGACCCAAATCTTATTGAGTCTGATACGGAGCTTCAAGGTTGGTGGACAGAAGTTAGAACCAAAGGTCATGCAGACAAGAAAGATGAGCCATGGTGGCCTGTTTTGAAAACCCCGGAAAGTCTGATTCACACTTTGACTACTATCATTTGGGTAGCCGCTGGTCATCATTCAGCAGTGAACTTTGGTCAGTACACGTATGGTGGATATTTCCCTAACCGCCCTACAATTGCTCGAACCAACATGCCAACTGAAGATCCATCTGAGGAGTTTTTCCAGAACTTCATGAAGAAACCAGAAGTGGCTTTGCTGATGTGCTTCCCCTCACAAATTCAAGCAACAAAAGTGATGGCCGTGTTAGATGTACTATCGAATCATTCACCCGATGAGGAGTATATTGGTGATTGTCTAGAGTCAGCTTGGGCTGAAAATCCTGTTATAAAGGCCGCGTATGAGAGATTCAGTGGCAATTTGAAGAGGTTAGAAGGAATTATTGATGAGAGAAATACCAATTTGAAACTGAAAAACAGAGTTGGAGCAGGAGTTGTTCCATATGAGCTTTTGAAGCCATTCTCAACCCCCGGTGTCACAGGAATGGGAGTTCCAAACAGCATCTCCATCTAAATTTGATGATGAGGAATCGATGTTCCAAACAGCATCTCTGTCTAGATTTTAGGTTGATGTTGTAAAAACTCTTTATGTATTCTATTTGGCCATTAATAAATCAATAATACGGGGTGCTTAAAGTTCTGATGAAAACTGTTGCATGATTCCACCAAACTCGAACTGGAACAAGTAATATCAGATCACGTCCAGTGTGTAACTTGTTTCTTTGTTTCAAGTACAGAGATCATTACATGAAAGTTACAAATTTCAGCAATAACTGACGCTGCTGCAACTTCCCCTATGCAGAGCCGGAAAATATGTCAACAGCAACATGATGTGAGCTTGTGAAACAGATATATAGCTTATTACTTGAAGTATGCTTATATACACGTATGTCTATATTATACATCAACGTGGTACAATACAGTAGATGAACGAACGAAAAATGTGGAAAATCTATCCTAAAAGAATTCTTCCTATAAAGAATTAAAGAATTAGGGGACCTTCGCCTTCTGCTGAGTTGCTCATGAAAGTCCGGAAGTGAATCCAGGTGACTGAAGCTTCAGAGTTTCTCTCCACAGAACCTTATATGATGTTGTCTTACAAGCAGACATTTGTCTTGCCTCACTTGAATTTGTACACCAAGGAAGGAGTGTAAAAGAAACAATGTGAGCAAACTCACAAAATGAGTGTGATGCTACGGTTGCTCTTAAAATCACCGTCCATCCAAAGAACCATCATTGCACTGGAGAACAAACCACTTTTCAGAAGGCTCAAACTCAAGGGATTTGCTGAGAAATTCCAATTTTTCGATTAGGCGGTCCATTGCAGAGTTAGCATTGTGCTCGAAATCTTCAGCATTGACTCACATGTACGAATGAGTATTAGTTTCATTGCACATGCACTCTGGAATGGGGTACTTTGTGACATCTTTCCAACTCTACTACTCCTGAGGTCTGGCTGTCCTAAGGAATCTCTGTGCAATTCCTTTATGATTCTATTGAACTCTGCTTCAGGGAGAGAAGAGTTCAGAAAGTACGGAAGCATATGCCTCTTGTCTGGGGTTATATACTTCTTGTGGCCAGCGTAGGCACGATGTCCCTGAAAGAGAATACAAAACTTGGTGTAAGTGAAGTCTCCATCAAATTAGATAAGCAAACTACGTAAAAGAACTATTAGTATGATAATTTCAAATTGTTCGCCTTCCATGCATATTTTCTCAACACATTCCTTTTTGTTGCTCCAAATTGGAAGGGCCTCAATGACACATCACTCATATTTCAGATCAGTTGTGCATTTATCTAAGCATTTCATTTGTTTCACTCGATTTATTTTGAGCATTTCATGCATTTATCTAAGCATTACCGGTTAACTTGATTTATTTTGATCATATTTGTTAATTGTTTTATCTAGCATATAGTATATACATTTACTTAAACAAAAACAAATAACTATACCTGCATAACATGGCCCATATTTCCCCCATGAGAAGGCATGAAGACATCACTATTCTCGGAAACTATATAATCAATGGCAGCCATGACAGACGCTCTGTTTGCAAAAGGTTCTAGTTCACCAGGCAAAGCAAGATCTTCCTTATTGTAAAAATGGGGAAATTCTTCGATTAACGGTAGTAAGGCTTCTTTTCCACCAAAAGGCTGCCCGCCAGCCCAATATATTCTTGCACTTTTTGGAGCTCCAAGAGCTTTAAGCAACCTAAAACACAAGATGTGGTTTGTCAGAAAACTCTCTGCAACATACAACAAATACAAATACAAATACAAAAAAAAAGCTACCTATTTGGTTTAATTAAAATGCCTAAATGTGACTATCATACCTGGTCACCTCCACAGCATTCAAGGGGCAGAGACCTGCAAGTTTTCTTTCATGGTAAGTCATGTTTGATCTTCCAGTTAGGAGCTCTGGCCGCCGAATCCTCTCATTGTAAATTATCTCATCATATTTAGGATTCAAACCAGGAAGACAACCGGTCCTCACCCATACGTCCTTCTCCATTCTTAAATGAAGCGCAAGGTATGGACCCTTATTGTGCATCCTCTCTGCAAGCTTGGTACCAATTCCCAAAATTGGAGGAGCAAACCTCAATGCATGAAAAGCAACCTGAAGTCAAATAAGGAAGAGATTACAGTCAGCTGTCTATAGGACCTTGTTCCAATTCTGTAATGAAACAAAGTCAGCTTGCATATACAAAAATAAATTATAAACATATTTAGCAAATTACCTTGCATCGAAGCTTTTGAAGATCAGAGGGAAGATCCTTAGAGAGCCTTGAATCCAAGCCTCTTAGAAGCAGAACCCCTTCTCTTTTAATCTGCATAGAAAAGGAGGAATTAGCATAATTTATAGTGTCCATTGGAATTCCACAGGAAATTCGTTTGTAAAACCACAAATAACAAAACCGATAAACATGGTTAAAAAATCATGTTACGAAATTAGACACAAGGAAAATGACTTAAGCATGATCAGAAAACCCTAAAATCGTCATTTGTTTTACATAGTTAAAATGTTCGGCAGCACATAAAGTTTATCTGTAGTCTGCACATAAGGTTTACATAATAAGTACAATATTGTAGTCATAAGGGTTGGACTGGACGGCTCTTCAATTGTGTTACCACGGCATGGTTAGAGTACATTTCTAACAGTTAGAGCTATTGAGGCCTTCCCATGCTATTGTAGCAACACTTGTAGACTAAAATATGAGAACAACCGTTAGAAAGCTGACATTTTTCGTAGGAACGCACCAGCAAAAACAAACCAAACAAAAAACTTTTGGTGTCACTAGGCCCACAAATAACAAACTAAACAGCTGCTAAAGCATCTTTTCCTCTATTCCATATTTCCTTAATTCAAATATTTAGGAAAAACAACCGGGTTGCTTCAATGCAAGCACAAAGACAGCAATGATCTTACCCTCTTGTGATAATGCGACCGAATCCAATTAGGCGAAGCATGTAGAGGAGTCCGTTTCTCCTCCACTGGCCTTGTCATTATATGCGTCGACGGTAGTGCAGAAACTATCCGAACATCGTCAGCAAGAACTTCCTTAAAGTGCTTCAAATCAAATATATCAGAAAATTCACTGCACCCAGCAAACGAAACACAGAAAATCAATTTCAGTCTCCTAAGCAAATATATTGCAACATAAGCTATTCATAAACCAACAACAACAAATCCTAACTATTCGTGGGGTCGGAATCGGATAATAAACCATTCTAAAAAGGAAATATGATAATTTAGCATAATTATATGAATCATGATACACAACAACACAAACCCATTGAATCCAAAAAAAGGCAGGTAATTTAGTGAGAAAAAAATGTGAGTTGAGGTGCAACTTTGTATACCTTTCATCTCCCCAGATGACATTAACCTGAAAAATAGGAACCACCAGAGCAGCTCCAAGAATCCTGGCAATAACGACAGCATCGACAATCTGATTCCTCTGCTGGTTCATCCCACCAGAAACCACAACAATCAGGTATTTAGTCCTGTCCTTCACTGATCCCCTCACTAGCTCTCTTATACTCCGTCGTCAAATCCAAGCACGGCCGATACCCCAAACCATCCGGCTGCTTCCAAAACTCACTCCCATCAGCTTCCTCTCCGACCTTCCCACTGTCAGGCTCAACCCCCACCTCTGATTGCAAAACCTCACTCGAAATCAACGGCTGGGATTCGCTCAAAACCTCGACTTGGTGGCTGTTTGCACCGTGTGAAGTAAAACCCATGTGTGATTTTAAGTACCTATTGGAGACCAAGTCATGGAGCTGAGTTGTGGAACATGGGTATGGAGAGTACGGGACTAAACGGTCGAGATTGAATCCCAGCTTCAGCATCCCAATCATTCCAAAGAGGAAGAGGAAGCAAACCCAGAACTTTGGGGTCCTGTAGTTGCTGAGCCAGCTCAAGCAGCTGCTGCTTTTGCTCCTTGAAGATTTCTTGGGAGAAACGAGGAGCGATTGCAGAGAAGAGGAAGACAGAGAGTTGATAATCTGAGAAGGGACTGAAATGTAAGAAAGCTTCTTGGTGGTGCTGTTGTTCTTCGACTTGGCCATTGATAGGCTGAGAAACTCTGTAATAACTCTGTCTCTTCTTCTTATTTGAAGAAAGAAAAGCAAAAAGTTGAGATTTATTTATGAGATTCCTTCACTCGCATTGACCGCTCAGAGGCAGAGGGAGAGAGAGAGAGATGGGGTGAAACAGGCGGCGGGAACATGGAAGTCCGAGAAGAAGCGTACGCGTTAACGTTTATATATATATATGAAAGAACAAGGGGTAGGAAAGGAAAGCTCGCAGCTTCTCTTTAAACAGAGGGACTTCAGCTGGTTTATTTATATACAATTGGCGAAGTGGGATGTGAACTATTAAATCCTGTCCCTAACTTTGTTTAATTATTTTTTTTTTTTAATTTTCTGACAGGAATCTATCTAACTACATTATACATGTTTTCTGATAAACCTTTTTTTTTTAATTTTTTATAAAACTAAAAAATTGATTGAAAATTAATTTTAGTTTTTTTAGCTTTCACAAATATAAAAACTAATAATTTTCAACAAAGTTTGAAAACTTAAAAAAAAAAAACTTTCAGTTTTCAAATGTAATTACAAAATAAATTTTAATTTTTAAAAATAAAACTAATATGATTATTACACGAATTTTGTAAAAGATTATAAAGTAATGTTAGCGAGATTAAATTGTAAACAAAATGATGTGGTTGTTGATAACTGAATTATTAACTAAGTGTCGATTAATATATTTATTTTAATTAATGACACATCATTTAATTTGTAAATTTGATCTTTCTAGTATTATTCTTTTATACGTGGTTAATGGCTGTATTTTTATTTGGATGCAATGAGAACAATATTAAACACATGGTTAATTGACCAAAAAAGAAACACATGGTTAATTAATGGCATAAGCAGAGCAATATTTCGGTAGTTGGGTCAACAAAATTAATTTTCAAATTTATTTACCTAGTTTTTTTTTTAAGCAAATGATATTTTTTTAGGAAAGGTGTGAGCTTAATCTCTCAATAGGCTAATAATAATATGATTTAAATTTATTTTTGGTAAAAATCAAATATAAAAACTCTCATTTATAAATAAAAGAATTTCACAAAATTCTAATATTAAGTGACAGTTTTAAATTTATTTTTAAAAGGGGGGGACAACTACATCTCGAGGGGAATGCGTGTCGTGTTGTAGTATATAGCCGGCTGGCTAGAAAGGATCAGTCAGCAGAGAGAGAGAGGGGGAGGGGCACCACCATGTGACTCTCTTTCCTACAGCCTGGATTATTATTGGTCCCTATGCGTAATTTCTCTCCCAAATCAGACCAATAGGGAGCTGTGAACCTATGACCTACCCAACTTCCTATGCTGCCCAACTGGCACTGCTCTGCTTTCCCATGCTGGCATTCTTTTCCACGTGGCAGATAGTGACTTCTCAATTCCCCTGCCACATGGGATTTTCCTTTTCTTACTTTTCTGTTGTTGGGGTTTGATCATATTCTGGGACCCAAAAAATTACTTAAGGTTACATGTAGAGTTGGATTTGGGACAAATAAAGAATGGATAATGGGATGTTTCTTTTCGCTATAATTGGGAATGGATTTTGTTTGTACCATGTTTGATCAATCCTGAACTACCGAGCATCAAACAACGTCATACTTTCAAAGATCCATTAAGGGGTTCATGCTAAGGCACCCTTGCCAAAGCATTAGAGTTTCCCTTCAACCAAAAGGTCAATCACAACGCGAATGTCATTATTGTACTTAAACTAGTCATTAGAACCCACTAGTGATAATTATGCTTAAACTTATGTATTTGTGTAAACCCTTGACTATTAATGAGAACTCATCTACTCCATGAACGTAGCCAGACTTAGGGCGAACCACGTACATCTTGTGTTTGCTTCCCTATCTCTACCTCTTTACATATTATCATCACTAGGTGACCGAAGCAACCGAGCGAAGGTCACAAACTTGACACTTTATGTTGTTCCAAAGTCTTCACCGATTTTGTGCATCAATAGATTTTTTTTTTTTTTGGTCAAATTACGTGCCAACCGAAGCACCAACCGTGTTGTATTGATTTTGTATCAATTTTTTTGTGCCAATCAATAATGGTGCAGTATATACCGTACCAAAATTTTATGGTACAATTTGGTAATATATAACATTACTACAGTATTACCATACTGTACCGAAAATATAATATAATATATAATTACATAACACATATTTATAATATTCCAATCATTTGAAAATAAAACCCTACTTATATTAGCATTGTTGTTGGTAACTTTGATCTTTTGAGTTGATGGAAATCAAACACAAAAGAGTTCCCAATTCTTTTAGAAATAGCCAAGGATATCTTCGCAATCTCCACTTCTATTGTTGCTAGTGAAAATGCATTTAGCCTAGGGAGGAGGGTTGTTGACCCTTTTAAAGCATCCTTAACTCCTAAAATGATAAAGGCACTAGTGTGTACCAATGATTGGCTTAGGGTAGATGAAATAAACTTCAACAAGGAACCAACGGAAGATATGCTTTAATTTTACAAGGAAATGGAAGAAGTGAAAACAAGTAAGATATGCTTTTAACTTTTTAGTAAATTTGTTATTAAATGGGTTTCAACTTTAATTCTTCTTGCTGCTAATATGTTTTCTTTGTTTGTAATGTAGGTTTGACACAAGCTCAATCTTCTACAAGTTCAATGCCACCTCCAAAAGTTTTGACATCTTAAGCTTAAAGAATTGATCAATGAATTTTACTTTTTGAAGTTTAGTTCCAATTTTCATTTGGTTTGAAACTTTAACTTCTATTTGTTTTGGTTCGTAACTTCTATTTGGATTGTAAACTTAATTTTCATCATAAATCTTGATGCATCATTTGAATTATTGCGTGTGTGAATTGTGAATGATAAATAATAGACGAATTTAGGCTACAATGTATGCAATAAAGGTACCAAAAAAAAAAAAAGTTTTGCCCTTGAATTGGGTTAAAAAAATAAAAACAAATTTTGTCCCAAAACAAAGTGGCAATAACTGTAATATCCCACATCGCCCAAGGGAGTGGATCTTGTAAGCCTTATATGTATATTCTCATCTCTACCTAGCATGAGGCCTTTTGGGAGCTCACTGGTTTCGGGTTCCATAGGAACTCCGAAGTTAAACGAGTTAAAGCGAGAGCAATCCCAGGATGGGTGACCCACTTGAAAGTTCTTGTTTGAGTGCTTAGAAACAAAACCGTGAGGGTGTGGTAGGGGCCCAAAGTGGACAATATCATGCTACGGTGGAGTCGGGCCTGGGATGTGGGGTCCTGGGTCGAGATGTGACAATTTGGTATCAAAGCCAATCCCTGGGTGGAAGTGTGCCAATGAGGACGTCGGGCCCCTAGGGGAGGGTTGGATTGTAACATCCCACATCGCCCAGGGGAGTGGATCCTGTAAGCCTTATATGTATATTCCCATCTCTACCTAGCACGAGGGCTTTTGGGTGCTCATTGGCTTCGAGTTCCATAGGAACTTCGAAGTTAAGCGAGTTAACGCGAGAACAATTCCAGGATGGGTGACCCACTGGAAAGTTCTTGTGTGAGTTCCCATAAACAAAACCGTGAGGGTGTGGTAGGGGCCCAAAGCAGACAATGTCGTGCTACGGTGAAGTCGGGTCTGGGATGTGGTGGGGGCCCGGGTCAGGATGTGACAATAACCATTGTCATACCATGCCAACCAAACTATTTGGCAATACCGAACTTCGGTATATTGAAAGTTTGGTACAATAATGGTAATAGCTTTTTCCAAATCAAAAGTTTGGTACAGTAATTGGTATGACGGTAATCGTACCAAATCCACCCCTAACTGTAATCGGTTTACGAATTCAAATCTTATATTTGAGTCTAAATATGAAGCCAATCATTTCCAATTTATAGGAGACAAAATTTATATTTATTTTTCAGAAATCAAATTTAAATTTGGTTTTCAATATGAAATTTGAGTTTAAGATGGACCCTATGCCAATGAGAAAGATATTATTCATCCAAGAAAAATAATATTTGAATTTTGAGCACAATAAGTTTCAATGCACATAGCCAAAAATCAAATTTTAAGTTTTAAAAATCCAATGTTTTCTTCTCTAACGCAAAGACTTAAATCTTAAAATTCAAAATATAAGAACATAAGTTTAAGAATACAAGTCCTTGCGTGGAAGAAGAAAAACAAAAATTTCAAACTCACCACCTTTTTGGGACTCAAATATAAGAAAATAGGTTTAACATTTGAGTCTTTGCATTGGGGATGGTCTTTTTACTTTTTTTTTTCTCTCTTCTTTTCTTTGTGATGAAATTCTTCGCAAGTAATTTTTTTTGTGAGTTTGATTCCTGTAGAGGACCAGATTGTCTGAAGCTAATCCCCTTAAGAGGATTATTTTAGTGGTGCAAATTTAATAGTTACAGCCAATTATTAAGAAAATGAAACTATTAGCCAGTCCACATAGAATAGGCTTAGAAAGATCAAGAAAGATATATAGAACATTGACTTGTATAAATTTGTGTGAAGAAATGACATTATTTCATATATAAATCAGTTCTTGATAAAATATTTCTCTTGTTAATGTTTGAAGAGGTTCAAAGTGAAATCTCCCCTCCCTTGTTAATATAATAAAGTTATATATTTATATTTAACGGTTAGAGAATAAATTGGTTTTAAATCGTCATTAATAAGATTTTTCATTGTGAAGAGGAATGCAACTATCTTTATGTTTAAAGTAATCCAATTTGTTTCTTTAAAAAAGTGGTCATAAAGACTTATGATTCAATTAGTTGAAAATGTTAAGTCATGTGTTAAACATTTTAAGTTCGACATTCTCTTTCTCAGTATTGCAAGTATAAAAATATACGATTGAACAACTTTTGTGAGTGGTACATTGGTGAGCGATGTCAATTTACCTTACTTGTAATGATAGCATGGATCTATGATTGCACGTACATTCTTAACCACTACTCAACACACACTCATTCATCATAATTGGGTAATCCATGACAATTGTAAAATGAATGGGTGGGGGATTTTGAAAGGGACAAGTTCATTCAAGGTGATTATTCAAGATATATCCTAATATGAGTCCGGATCCTCTTTGTGAGAATCTCGAAGATCTATGAATCGTGTCCGTTCATCATATATTATACGATCAAAAATCATTTTAAATATTTTTATTTAAAAATAAATATAAACAATATTTGATAAAAACTGACCGCACAATGTACGATAAACAAACACAATTTATGAATCTCTAGAATCCTTATCCCCAAACCCAAAAAAT